TGCAGCTCAGAAGCAAAAAAAAATGGGGCCAAACCTGCACTACCTGCAGGGATCTTCCTGCCGCACTGTATTTGCTGCCTCTCCTTAAAATGGCTCAGCAGGCACACTGCGTGCTCCCGCTGCCTTGGGACTGAGGAAGGAAAAAGCCCCAGAGACCCCTTTGAGATAGTGCTGTGGTGTTTCTTGGGGGGAAGCAGGTCATCAGTGCATAGCAGGGCCAAATGATGGGTGGCAACATCTCATCCACCATGCCGGCGTCCCTCCTGGTGCCCCAGAACGTAGCCATCAAGCTCTGCTGGCAGCACACACCCCAAAAAGGTTGGTTTCCTCTTTCCTTGCCCTAATCAAGGCAGGAGGAAAATCCGAGTAGGAAAGAATGGAAGAGAGAAGGTGCCTCTCTGGCAGAGGCTCTCAAGTGCTGGAAGCAGGGACTGGAGCCAGACCCTTACGTTGCTTCCTCAGCTCTCTGACTGAGCTGGTAGGGCAGCCTGCACCGACCCCCCTGGTCCCCTGGGATAGGACCTGGCTTGCCAAGGGTAAGGAAAATCAGGCACATAAAGCAGTCTCCTGGAGTGGGATGTCTCCCTCTCCAGGCAGCAAGGAAGCTGCAGAGCAGGCACCCCATGAGGATTTTCCCTTTCCAGCACAGCCTATGCAAAAAAATGCTGTTTTTTTCAGCAGAGCTCAAAACTGGTTTTAAGTCCAGGCAGGGACCAAGCTGGAATCTGGGCAGAAAGTGCAAGGGGCTGCCAACGTCAGTGCCCAGATCTCTGTGCCGTGGAAAGCCCAAGCCTCTCTCCACGGCATGGATCTGCAGCCCAGTAGCCAGCATGATGGGATGATTTCATGCCGTGCAGTACGTTTTCCTCAAGACCACACTTTGGAAGACATGGTGGAGCAAGAGGAGCTGACATCCGTCTAACTTCAGCTTTGTCTCCAGATGGCTCTTCAACTTAGTGCCAAGAGAAACAAAAACCAATGCAAGCTCTGGAGTCTTGGGTCAACCACTGCAAAACTGTTAATCCCAGAGTTGCATTGCCCCATCTCTGCCATTTGTATTTGCCACTGTGTTCTCCAGAAGCTCAGCAGACCAGTCTTCACCTTCCAGCTGAAGTTCCTTTATTAATTACCTCAAGATCCCTGAAATAAGGGAGCCCAAATCCACAACCTCTTCTCTCTGCTGATGCAGATATAAAAGTATCTGAGAGGGAGGGAGCAAGCAAAGCTTTGAGTCCACACTCCAAAGATCGCTCTTCAGACATGCAGCAGGAGAGGTGATGGAGTAATCAGTGCACTGCAAATGGGTTCAACCAACAGCCACACTGGTACAGCCAAACCACACTTTTCATCTGTGTCTTCTTAGAGTGACAAACCATCTTTGGTCTAGAAAGGGGATTTTACAGCAAATTTTATTCTAACTCTTCAACAGTTTCCCTCTGTCCCTCCCAAACAAAAATTTCATACCACCAACTACAAAAATGCTCTCTGGCCACCCCAGAAGCAGGGTTTCTTATGTGGTTTTCTTCTGCCTCACCTCCCCTGATGCAGACTTTTCCAACAGTAAAAAGGTATGAAGGCAGGGGAGTGACTCTCAAAAAGTAAAACAAAACTACAAAATTATCCACAGAACATCTTTTACAGGACTACCTGACACTGCTTATTATTTCCTTGCTCCTCTTCATGGCACTGAAAGCCACAGTGTCCTTACTTGTGTAAGAGGGAAGTAGGGAAAAAATATATATGAAGAAAGAAATTGATAAAAATACAATAAAGGTGTCTAGAGGAAAGAAAAACTGCACTTTCCTGCTGTTGAACCCAGTATGGTCTCTCCTTGGAGGGAAAGGCTCTGAACTCTCTCACACTTTCCTGGGGTTTTACAAGTAAAAGGCTTCCAGCATAGTCAAATGCTAAAGTTTGATGGCCCCAACAGGGAGGCACCTTGCTCAGTAATTTGCAACCATATAACCACCCCAAACTAGCAGCGGTGAGTGCAGAGGGGGCTATCATCCATGGTAAAGCAAAAAATCACAGCCAACACATAACAGGTCAGCAAAGCAGTGGCCATCTGCACTCAGGTGGGGATGAAACCTGCAGCGCAACTCTTTCTAGTACCCAGGGAATTTGCAATCTATGCAGACAGTGCAAGGGAGAGAGACGTACAGCTGGGACCTGAACAGGGCAGTAGATACCTTTTGCTTTCCTCATAAATCGGGATCATGCACCACCATCCGTGCTTTGTGTGGGGTAAGCTGAGACATAGCATGACTATGTCCAAGCAACAGGACCTGTACTATCCAGCCTCTTGCTCCAGATGCATAGCCATCCGGTGCTCCTGATCCGACCGGGGTGACAGCTGAGCACATACTAGTCCCTTCCCTGTGGGAAGGAGATGCAGGAGCTTGCTTTCACCCAATGAGACCCTCTGCATGCGCTATCTGGCATCCAAATGATCACAAATAGACCAGGAGGGTGTCCCAAAGGCCATTCATCTCTTGGTTTAGACATCTCTTCTCCCTCTTCATGCCAGAAACAGACCCAGTGTCCTGGATCCCCCAACCCCTGCTGCGACTGCTGAACAGTTGGGGTGTAGAAAGGGAGACGTTACATTCCTTCAGGACCCACAACAGGCCACCACCAGGGCTGGGGGGCCCTTTGGCCCAACCTGCTGTGCCCATCCCTCAGTTCTTCCCTTCCAGCCCTTGGCTGCAGCAGGAGATTCAGGTACCACGATCACCCACTTCTGCCTATGGATCAGTGGCTGCATGGGCAGCTGCTGTGGCTCCACCATGCAGTCCTGGATGCACTCTCTGCCCTGGCAAAGCAGCCTGCAAAGGTGGCTCCTGAATTCCCAGGCTCAGATCATGCTTTTATTTCAGGAGAGCGCTACAGCATTGCTGAAGCGGGCGTCACAGGCTGGCACGCATTGACTTTCTAAACTGGACATGATGGAGGGGAGGGAAGTCACCCAAGCCTGCAAGCAGCATGGGCAAACCCAGGGCACTCAGAACCCAGCACACAGAGTCATTCCAGCTCGGCTGAATCAGGTCCATAATAAGCAAACAAGATCACAACATCTTCATAAAAGTAGGATTTAAGTACAAACATCTGCCCTGCTGTTTTTTCATTAAGACAGTTTATAGCTGAGCATTCTCCATCTGCAGAAATGCCATGCGTATTCTAATTACGGCAGCTAGTTTATTTAACAGAGTTTGACATTGTTTGACGTTTAGCTGAGTCACCTTGTTCCCGGGTAAAGCAACAGGGGCTTTTCAGCAGTTCAACAAGAAAGAGGCAGAGATTCAATATCAAAAGTAGAACATATATCATAGAAATTTTAAATTAAATACAGCTGAGGTCTATTCTATTCTGGCACCTTCTCTCTTTGGGACACTAAGTCAACCCAAATGTTTTCCAGATATAACTCTTCCCCTCAAGGACATGCAGCAGTACCATCTCCATCATGTTCTTGGACAGTGGGAAGGGTAGGAAGTGGGCACATGGGATGCATCTCATCCTCCGCCAGTATCACCCACTCATGTATCGGGACATCCATCCCTAAGAACCACACACAGGCTGAGCATCAGTCACCTGCATTTGGCCAATATTTTTCTAGGACAAAGTAAAAGAAATGGGTCAGTGATGGTCAATACAGGAGGAACAACTGTTACCTGCAGACAGATTTTCCTACAGCACCTCACCTAAAGCCATTTGCACTCCTGTACAGTGCTTTTCAAGGATCTCACAATGCTTTCCAGCAAGAAAGGCAGGCCAGCAGTATCCATCCTCATTGTACAGAAGTTTCACAAAGTGACTTGTCTATGAGTTTGTTGGTGGCACAGCTGGAAACAGAGCCCACATTTGGACTCCTGTCCTCATCCCAGGTTGGAAATGGAAGGCAACACCACCTCCCCCTGGCTGCAGACGGGCTGGATGCAGCACAGAGCACTGCAGAGAGCAAAGTCCAATCCTGGGGCTGCCTTCCAGAAGGCCCACGGAGGCTGCCGTGCTGCCCTGCTGCAGCTCTGATGCCTGTGTCAGATATTTGCACTGCTGGTTTCCAAGTCCCTGCTTCCCCACTCGCCCTGGAGCTGTGCTCACCACACATCTGGAGCAGCGGCTCTGCCTGCATACAGTGTTGGGGACCGCAGCGTGCTCCCAACCCAACTTTTCTTTACAGACCTTTGGGGAAGATCTGGGATCTCCTTTTTATAGTTAAAGACAGAATGGACCTTTTAACAGGCTGAAAACACTCCATTTATCCTGGCAGGCAGTGCAGCGAGCCAAACTTTAAACCCACAGCCAGAATCATGCAGTCAGACAATAGAGAGCTGGCCCAAGCGTGCATTTCCAAGAGCATGCTGCGGTCTGGCTCATGTCTCCTTGCCATCCCTGCAGTTGCTGCTGGGAGAAGCTGTGTGAAAGCGTGTGCCGTTACCTTGAGAAGAGGATATCCATCACGTCCAGCCCCTCTCTGAAAGCTGTCAGAGGGACAGTGGCTGAGGCCAAAGAGATATTTACTTATCTTTTTGGCTAGCGTTGCAGAAATCCTTTTTTGCTTTTAACCTTCTTTCAGTTTCCTTTATATCTCAGTAGCAACTCTAATTATTCATTCCTTATTGTACAGTAACAGTGTTTGCAGAGCAACGGCATCCACAAATGGAGAAAACAGTGTCTCTGGCCTCTGGTGGCCCCTTACTTGGCGGCCCAAGCTCAGGCTGTCTGGTTGCACCCCACAGAAGCCATCAAATTCCTTTGTGCAGCAGGGCATGAGCCAACCTGAACCTGAACAGCTGATGCAGGATCCCCTGGGAGCCCTAAACACCATGCCAGTTATTTTAGGAGGAGGTGGAGGTCTGGTATCACAAGGCTGCATGCACGAGCTCCCAGGGAAATGGCATTTGTTAAGACAGGTCACAAAAAGTACTAGAAAGGGTGGCTGGGGAACTGAAGTCCTCAACTGCTCTTAACCGTCTTATTCTGGGCTTTCCCCACTGCATTACCTGGTAGAAAAGGGATGATTCTTTGCTTGGGGTCTTTCTGGCCTCCTTCAATAGGGAATTTGTCCAGAAGCTGCATCTGCAAAGGAAACAGAACAAACGCCTTAGGGGAAAAACATGGACTGGCTGCACAGAGACCAGGGGATCTCTTGGTCTGCGTGTGGTTTTAAAGAGGATTAGCAAAGCAAAGCAACTGCAGGAACCCCTCCGCCTTGTTGCAGGGGAGTCTGTGCATAAAAAGGTATGATACAGTTCACTCCAAGAAAGGGAGTGCAAGTTTCTGGCAGCGCAGAGGAGCTGGGACGAGGCCCAGGCAGAATTCTGAGCCTGGCCTTGCCACCGTTCTAAAATTAGGCTCTCATCCTTGGTTACAAAATACACGCTTCGGCCCTAATCCACAACCTGCTATGTTGGTGGAGACACAGGTTTTACCTATCCCTGCGACAGGCCACCCACCTGGCTAAAAATGCTGTTCAAGCAACCGGATTAAAAGTTATTTAATAAAACACCCACTCTGCCTTCTTGCTGGCAAGGCATGGCCCACTGCCCAGGTGCAGTGAGAGCACTCATGCTTTCCCAGGGAGGGAGAGATGGGTTTGGGGGGAATATCTTCCACTGCAGTCCCTACATGGAGGGCAGCAGCAAAGAAAGGGCAGCAGGGACAGAGGCCTCAGAGAGCAGAGCATCCCAGAGGACATCACCACCACAAATGGCCAGAAGGCACAGCTCGTAGTAGGTGTGCTCTCAGCCCTTAACAAGCAATCTTTAGCACATGGTTATGGATCACCTGAGCTAGAGTTTCACCCATGTCAGCTAAGATCTTGCCCCACCAGCTCCTAAACCCTGCCCACCACAACCACCTGTTTCTAACACACCCCTAAGGGCTGACCAGCCTTCAACCTGCGGAGCTCAAAGGGGTATTGATCGCTATGACCAGCTTGCATGGTGGAGCAGACTGCTGACCACCAGTGACTTTCTATGGAAGCAAGCCTAAGAAAGCAGTACATTGACCTGATGTTCCTGAATGAGCCCTACAATTTCTCTTTGGGTGATGAGCCTGGATGGACCAGTGCCACTGAAGATGAACACTGGCCATGCACAACCTCAGCCAGAAAGGCAAGAAGCACCTGCTCCAGTGGCACCTTCATGGACCTGCCCAAGAGAGACTGTCCCCAGCCCTGAAAACTGCCAGAGCCTCTCACCCCTCCCACTCACCCTCTCTGCACCCTTTCGCTGTCATTCAGCCCGTGGTGCTATCAAGATAAATACCCAAATCTTCATATTCTATTTAATTTCTTCCCATGTTTCAGATGTACAATGCAATGCTCTATGTCCCTGTTGATCCTACACAGAAGCCTCAGCTCCCTTGGGCTGTGGGAACACCAAAGCTCCTGCTAGCCCAGTGACTCGTTTCCAACAGACCAAGAGAGATGTGTCTCAACCCACAGTTCACAGGACCTGTGGCCTCTGAGGAAGGTAAGGAAGGAAAGCAAGCAGTCCTGTTACTTGACCTTGCATACCCTTACCTCCTCACCTGAACTGTATCTACAGCTCAATACAAATACCTAAAGTGGCAGCAAAAGCTGCAGGGGGGAGGCTCATCAATCAGCATTTAATCTCATCAATGCTATGTGTCTGACAGTGAGGGTGTGTGAGTTAGCAGTTTTGCTAGCTCAACAAGACTTTCTTTAAAATTTAATTTTTTGTTTTGCTAACATGGGGAAAAAAATAATTTTTTGCTGGTTTTGTTTTAAGCACATGGAATCCTTCTCCTCTTCCACCGCATCAAACATCTCCAGCATTTTCACCATATGGTACGGCAAACCAAAGATCAAGAGGAAACCTAGGAGTAGAAGGAACATCTGTGCAGGAGAAAAAGTTAAAAGATCCCACATGTTTCCCCATCAGGGAGTCAGCCTGGTAAATAAATACACCATAGCTTTGCAGATTGTTAGCTAACTCACTTTTCTGCCTAAGGAGACATGTTTTTTATTGAAAATGGTAAATTTTGTTTTCTTGTAGGTAGAGCTCTGAGGTCAGCCATGGGCAGGAGTTTTGTTCAAAGAAAAAAAAAAAGAGGGGGGGGGGAATCCCCACTGATTGACTTGAAGTTTTCCTGTTGCTACACTTTTAGCCAGGAATGCGATTCTTACTTTACTACACAGTGACTGATTCAAGCTGGAAGCGATACAGTCAAATTCCCATGGTTATTCTTGGAGTTAGATTAGCTTGGCTAATACAAGCCTTTTTAACCACATCAAGAGAGTCACAACGTGTATAACTTAATGCTATTTATCTAAGGGGTGGATATCGGCAAAATAGATACAATAAACTGCAGCTAGAAGAGTTTGGCTAAGATTTCCTAGACTACACTTTCTGCCACGGCTCTCGCCTCTGCTGGGAGGGTCTGGATGGCAGGGAGCTGCAGGGAGGCAGAGGCACTCGGGAGGCCATCGATGCAATTCATGGGGACACAGCCTGTCCCAGTGCAAACTCTCCAGGAAACATGGAAGATTTCTCACCTTTGATATATGATACAAAATCCCAATGGGCAACATGCACACGTTTGTGTGAAACTGAAGACAAGGAGTGTAGTTGCTGCTTCTCAAGAGGCTGTACAAGGTTGGGCACCTACGGAGGAGTGTAACAGTCCCTCTCCAAGCCCTGACCCCAGAAGATATTTGCCACTGACTTGTGCATTGGCCCCTGGACCAACAAGTTGGGTCCAGCATTTGTGCTGTCCCAGCAATAGAGACAGGCTGGTGCTGGGCAGCTATACAGGAGGTTCAGGAGGAAACTACTGGCTGAATCTCAAGATAACATGGGAAACCCAGCACATCTAAGCAAGCACATAACTGCAGCCCAGCAGCTATGCCCCTGCCACTATGCCCGGCTATTCTCATTTATGCCTAAAAAAGCACTTCCAGAATGACTATGTCTGTACGGATGAGTATTAATGGGAGAACCTGCAACACAGAGTGGAAGGTAATGACTGCTGTTCAGCTCTGCCACACAGGAAACCCTTCAGGATGTTAAAGCCAAACAAAGATGAGCAGAAGCATGGAGCCTTCCTTGGCACTTCCCTGCACCCAGTTATGCCATTCAAAGACAGCACAAGTTAGATCTAAAATCCTAGAAAAGCAGGATCCTGTATCCTCTCACCCACAGAGAAGGGGGCAAAGCAGAAAATGAGGAAGAGACGTATGCAGGGGGAAAAAAACCAGCAATGGGCCTGAATGAAACATCCCAAATTTCCCAGAGGGGATGGGATACCCTGAGTCAATGCCTATCACCCTGGCTCAGCCTGGCTGTGGTAAGAGGAGGCACTAACTGTGGAGATAAATGGAGCAGCTGGGAACAGAGGGAGCTAAGGGCTGCACCACAGAAACTCCTCCTGGTAGTCACAGCACTTTCCCCATGCAGATGATTAACAGCCAAAGACAAATACACAGATTTTCAGTTTACTTAATCAGATGTCTACAGTGCATCTGAAAGTTGAAAACTCTTTAGTCTGTAATAATAATTTCCTTTCATGGAGAAACATTTATTGTTGTTATTGCAAATATACATATGCTGGGGCATAAAAATCCTTCACTTAATGCCCCAGTTATTCTGCTCAGACATGGACAGTCTCCACAAATTGCCACTCTCATCTTTGATAGATGACATTTAATTTAGGGACAAGATTTGCTGAATGACAGTCATTCCCTGTCACCTGGAGTAAAATCATCCCAACATGTGGGAAAAGAAGAGCAGGCTGGATGAGGAGTCCCAAAGGATGGAATCTTTGGGCAGATAAGAAAACACAAGTGGGCAATGCATTTTGGCAAACCTAGAGTAGCCCATACTCAGTTCATCTGCTTACAAGTGGTAGTACATGAATCCTACCATGGGGGAGCCTCCAACTGGATGACCAGTTTGATGAGCAGAAAGAAATCTGTTAGCCTGTCACTGTGTCACAGGGTGGGGGATCTGTTTGGAAACAGGGAGGGTATATGGAAGTTGGAAAGTGAGCTTCCCACCCATTTGGGCAGTGCATCTGGGGTCAGGCTGAACAAACACATCCTCCTCCTGCTTTTGGCACAACAGATGCATATCTACAAATAACTCAACACACCAGGCTCTTCTCTCCAAACTGCTCTGGGTTTGCCAACAGATTTCCTACATAAGTCCTACATGGAGTTCTGCCTTCCGCTCCGAGCAGCTTCCTTCTTGCTTCTGTGCTAAACTCATTTAGAAGATCTGCTATAAACCCTGTGGTCCAGATTATGACTTTCTTATAGTGGTCAGCAAATAACCATGCAATTTATCCCATTAATAATCAAGGGAATTACTCATGTGAGTTGCTGCTCATTAAAATGAGAGCAGGCTCAGAGCACTGGTCCATTCCTTACTACTTGCATATAACCACAAAATCACCTGACTTGCAAGAATGGAATAGGAAGATTTCAGTGATATTCGTTCTCATAACTGGCCTTTTTGTTGAAGTCCCAGCTCCTGGAAGCGAGCAACTGTCTGAGAATTAGCATTCACTGTGAGAACCAACTAAATGAAAACTACTCTAGAATTTAAGGTGCAAAGCATAAATTTGCAAACATGGCCCAAATTCATCATTAAATGTCCAGAAACTGAAAGGCAAATAACTTAGTCTGCACGCTTTTGATCTAAAATAGGGAGCTCTGGAAGCTGCTCACACATGTAAATGAGAAATAACAGGTGTAGCCAGTGTCCTCACTTACAGCTAAGCTGTTACTTCTCATCTCTTCTGCTTCAGGCCACCTTTACCTAAGAAGTCGAATATGCTGTGAAGAGAGATGTTCCTGCACACAAGGACCATACGGGCTCAGCAATCACCAGCTGATGGCATGTGTGGTCACTTCACATGAGTTCTGCTGTGAAAATAAGATTCAGGCCCTGTCTGTCTTGCAATGGTACCACCTGAATAAAAATCTTAACAAAGGAAAACAAGTGCCGCTTAAGATGTTACAAGTAGCATGTCTGAGGACAAGAAGCCAAGCATCTTCCTGATAATTATTTACTTACTACATTTTATTTATCTTAGTTAGACTTTCATAAACCAACATTTCTTTC